CAAATATTATTTTCTTTGAAAGCTGGGCCGCTCTATATTTGCATCCAAAGGATTAGCAGACTAACAGTTCAGAGAATCCAAAGTGTTAGAAATAACTCAGTAAATATAAAACTAGGATTTTGATTATTATATTCTCTCCCTTGGCCTAACAGATCGAAAGGTTCTTTTTTGGGATAGAGTGGTTTGTAAAGTCTCCCTTTTCAGATCTAATACTTAAATATTTAACTTCAGCAACCCTTACTACTCTGATGAAGCGTCCCAGATTCACAAACATATTAAATGCTCAAAGTTCACGTTTGCATACGAACTGAGAATGTTTGGAGAGAAAAACATTTTTGAAGTGGAATGACCCAAGTTCCCAAAACAAACTCAGCCCCCTCCTCCCCTACACCCCCTGCCCTGGCGCAGGTTTAATTCCCTGCCAGACCTCAGCAAGATGCCCAGGTCTGAGCAGCTTCACAGGCTTTCAAGGGAAATCAAACAGATGGAACAGGTCCAAGGCCCCCTGCATAGAAAGCCAGTTAGCAGAGAACATGCAACTGCCATGTTTACATACATACACATGTCTGAACATATGTACATATGCAGGCACATACACTGCCATTCTTAAGTTTTACACATTGCATACTCATTTTCCAGAAAAGCARGTATCCTCACAAGCCCTTCTACCAAGTTTGCTACAGCTTGAGCTTTGAGGTCTTTATGCTGCACTCCCTTGCACAGCAGTATTTTCAATACAGTCAAGTCTAGAAGTTTCAAACACCAGGAATTTCATCTGAAGTAAATTCAGCTTTAAAACTCAAACAGCTAGGAAAAAGTGACAGGACTCTAGAATATATTTTATATATTTTGTTAAGATAGAGATAAAAAATAGTTTGTGCTTGAAGGTTTTTTTTTTTTTTTTAAAGGCAGCTAATTCCATTATCAGTAACTGCACAAATAAAAACACACCCAACCCCAAAGCAGCATGTATAAATAGCACCTACTCACACAACCCCTGTGCACAGCTCAGTCCTAAACAAGACGAGTGGCCAGACCTGAAGCACATGGATGTCTTCTGTCAATAGAGGCTGTCACTCCAGGCAAGCTCCCAGGACATTAGCAATTTAGAACAAAACCAGATATACTAAAAAAAACACCGAAATTTGGTTCATTAGGACCCAAAGTGAAATACTTGCTGGCCCCAAGAACACTGTATTCTCATCTCCAAATTAGCCCACTGCCACCAGCAAGCATGCTAGAGCTCTCCCAAACACCTTACAAAAGTACAAAAATAGGGAGTTTTTTGAAAATTTCTAGGATAGATTAGATCTTATTTTGTATTGCTAGATTTTCACACTACTGATCTGAGATCAAGCTTACTCTATAGTATTTCAATCGCAGCAGTTTTCTATGATTTTAAATCATTTTTGATGGACTGATCTCTCCAAATAACATAAATTCACAGAAGTAGAGCAAGTCATAGCCATACAGGTTCCTGTATCAGGAATGTGGTCCCTTGTAGGAGGTATGAACCTTTTGATATTGCTTTAAAAAGAGGACAGGAAAGTAAAATGCAGCTTTGTCACCACTCCTGATTAGTGGTCAYGAGCAATTCAGAATTCAGTAGCTCTACAAAGTGAGCTTTATAACTGTTTTATACTTTAGTAGATATACATAAAGCAAAGTGCTCCGTGCCTACCCTGTCTTAAAGAACACTAAGGTAACATTTCTGAGTAGAATATCTGTGTCCTGACATCACTGCATTTCGAGGTCTGTTACCTTCATCACGCCAAATCAACTCCTTCCAAATGAAATATGCTTCGACTTACTAAGGCCTTCATACAGACATCAATTTTTCAGTCCCAGCCATTTCATGTCATTTTAATTGTTTTACTTCAAGCCCCCTAAAGGACAAAGCTGATGTTCTGCAGTGTCCACAAGCAGGTCAAACAGCACTTGCTCTGTCCCTGGAGACAACCTTGCCTGGAAAAACTATTTAAATGGGGGAAGAAAAAGAGACAACACTGAAAACTTATGCAGAAAATTTGTGCTATTTGCACTCTTCTTTGAAGCTACAGATAAATTGTATGTGTATATATAATATATAAAAAGACTTAAGAAATTGAGATATTCCATCTCTGGAAAGACCTAAGACCTCCAACTAGGTGTTTCAGGGCTGCTGCAGTGCCTCTGCTGCAGTGCCTCTGCTGCATAGGAAAATATACAACAACTCTTTTTCAAAATGCCTTTATTACTTAACATTCCCAACCAGGTTATTTCAGAGCAGCATTTTTTTATTATTTTCTTTTTTAATATTTTGGGGGATTCAATAAGGAGCAGCTAGCTACATCCTTACCTGCGTCCACATCCCAGAGGTTTTCTCTCTCAGATGTCTTGGACAAATGGACTAAACCAGCCCTCCAGTTGTGCACAGAGGTAGTCCAGCCCCAAGTACTACTGACTGCCCCAGTCTATTTATACACCATCCTGGGGCTGYTTGTTCCAGTGTTGCTCACCTTGCACTGTGGTTCATCTGTCAAGTAGCTCCCACAGGTAAATTATTTTCCCCATACCAGCCTCCATATCTTTCTAAGATAGCTCTATATCTTTCTAAGAARTTTAAACCAGGCTCTTTCCTACCATCACCAAGACATTTTGCTAGAGAGAAAGCAGTTAGCCTTTGCTCTCACCTAAGTTATTCAAAGACTGAAAAAACTTGAAGAATTCAACAGTCTCAGTCACTTGGAGTGAATCAGTGGTTCATTGTGGACCCGCAACAGCTGCTGTAAATTCAAACAGTTCCCTTCACTGGCCACTAAGTGCAGCACAGCATGGCTGGGATCCATACAGCTGCAGGGCTCCACTTTTAAAACTATGTCAGCAATAAAGCTGTGAGTATAGGAGAATGGACTGACTCATAAAACTTTAGAAAACAAAAGCCCCAGAGGAAAAAAAATCCTCAATTTTTTCCACTCATTACCCTAGAGTTTCAGCCAAAATATGCTAARTAAATCCTGATTTATTTTTCTATCTAGTCTTTCTCAGAGGTCACTGTGACACCATTGCAGACTGCCCAGAACGAAACCTCTGGAAAGCAAGAGGCCGAGCATTGCAGCCGAGCTCCGGGTTGCCACAGCATTTCAGGCGTTTGAGACTGCACAGCTGACAGGCAATATTAACTCCCCAGCTTGCACACACACTGCCTACCCACGGGACTGCTCGTCTGCAATGTTTAGTGCCTTCCACATTTCCAAATAAGAAATTACTGTTACAAATCAGCTGCACTGTCTTAGCAGCTCTGCTAAAGTCTCTCTGGTTTCCATCTCAGAGCCTCAGTTCAGGGTACACACATTTCCTGCATATTTTTTTTTCAAATATACAAAGATCATTTTTAAGTTTTAGCCAGAACAATCTATTTAACAAGAAACAATAATTAACAAAGCATGGTTTGTATTACAGTCTGCCTGAAGCAGACTGTCAAGTGTTTGGGAACTTCATATTGATTCCACAAATGATATTTCCTCATCTTTTTGACATTCTCTAGAGCAGAATCTGAAGCACTGCACTCAGCATCTGCACTAAAAGCAAAACTCAGTCATCAGGATTTACAGCCCGTTCTGCACCTACAGTTTTGTTAGAGCTAGCACATTGGTGAGRGCCACCCTCACTGTCCCAGGCACATGGAATGGGACAAGAGCAGCCCCAGCTGACACACAGGCCTACTCAATCAAGTGAACAACCAACTACCAGCTCCATCTTTGTGACTAAAGAAAGAACACTAACTTTGGGTGTCAGCAACCTGAAGCATTTGCCCAGCTTTTATTCTCAGAAATCACTGATATTAATTAAAATGTAAGAGCCCTAAGACAACAAGCAATTTTCTTCAACACAATACCAAAAAAAGAGCATCAGCTCTCTTCAAAGACCACAGGACCACTAGAGCCAACAATAAGYGATTGCCACAGAGCTGTGCAAAAGCCTTTAGGTGAACAGAGCTGGGGTGCAGGTCCCTGGACACTGGTGCTACATTAGGCACTTGTAGCTGAGGACACAGCCCTTTCCAAAGCCTGCAGGACAGGCAGCAGCAGCAGCGCTGCATTTCCATCTTCACCGTTGCTCTGCATCAGTTTTTACAGGTTTTGGCCATGAAAACCCAAGTGCTCCTGATGATGTTATGTGATATAATCCACAAATGTCAGAGTATTGCAAAAGCAAAATTGACATCCAATGGAGAACCAAGCAAGAACCCTGAGCTACTGTTGGGCACAACACTGGGCAATAACTGACTAAACCACAATTAACAGGGTCATATTTAAATAGCATGCAAGCTTTTTTTGAATGACTACCTTGAAATGAGGCACTGCATATAGACAGAAGTGTTTCTTAAAAACCCTACCCCTATCAGTGTAATCCAAGAGAAAGAAAACTGCAAAATGTCCTTGTAAATCAAGCATTAGCTTGAGAATTCAGAACTACTTTCTGGATTGATTTCTCTCCAGCTGCTTTCATGAATGATTGACACTCAAGCCTCCCACAACTGTGTGCTATTTGCTACTTAGAAAGTGCTTAGCTGTGCAAACAGATGGACAACAAACTTCTAGAAGCAATTTCAGCCAAAAACATCCAAACAAAGCTTTTCTTTTGGACTAGCACAGCTGGGGAGGGCTGCAGGGGGTGAGGAACCACCCTTCTGGCAGACACATTTTCCTCCTGGCTTGCTGCCCCCAGCTTGCAACAGGCTTGCAACCAGCAAGCACTTGGAGAAACCTTTTTTTGAAGAACAGGAGACAGATGAGCCTGGGGGCATGTGGCTGGGTAATCAAGTCTTCTACTTGAAAGAAGCACCTGCAGGACAGAAGGCCAAAATGCAACACAAGTTTAGTATTGCCTAAAGTCAAARAATGTACAGAAGAGTCTTTTTCTTTTCCAGGCTAATAATCACTTCCAGAATTTCAGATTCCTTTGACATATTTCTCAAAGGCAATTTATACTCACGGAAGAAACCAAAGATGCCCTACCTTCAAAACTCTGAAATCTCCAGAAGTGCCCAGCAACTCAACAGTGTAACCAAAGCTGACCTGCTGGGTCAGCTCTTTGTCTTCTGAGGGAGAAAGAAAACAGTGTAGCTTCCTCTGGTTGCAAAAGTAAGGTCTGGGGACATGGATCAAGGAAATAAAGCTTCAGATAATGACTAGATGCAAGGAAGTGCACAAAATGCTCTGATCAACAGCCTGCATCTCAGAGCTTTCCTACCAAGCCAGTTAGAGAAAGGAGATAAGGAACRTAAGCTTTAAGAAGTTTCAAATCTAGAGTACAGGGCCTTGAAAACTGTGACCAAATCTAAATCACCAAATACTTCAGAAGAAAAATAATGTGCTTGGTATGCTTTACTTTCTAAGTCAYAGCGTTCTTGCACAGGGTTGTGCATTTCAAGTCTCAGAACATTTTCAAGGCAAAAACCTAGAAAGCAACAGATTGCTTTCTAGGACTAAGGACTGCTTACTTACTGGGAGTATGCAATTAGCTGTAGCCTTACTCACTATGCAGCATTTCAACGTAAAAAAAACAATAAAACAGGCATAGCATCCTGAGTACCAAAAGAACATTAAAAAGAAAATTCTGATAAATTTCTCCCCATAACATATTTGCTTGATTAACTGTTCTTACTGATTTCAGGATATCATTCTGTAGTAGTCTGTGTAAGTAGAGAATAAATCTTTTCTAGTAAATTGCTAAATAAATGAAGTCTGATTGGAAAACAATACAGAAAAGCAAACAACACAAAACCAGTTAAGCAACTAGAGATCTAAGAATAAAAGCAGAAAAGGTAGTTGTATCTTACCCTAATAGACATCAAGTAAATTTGGAGAAATGTCAAACAGCACATTCCTCAAATATTAAAACCTATAAAACAAGATCAAAATGAACAAGATTTTTTTGCAAGGCCCTATTTTTATATATAGTTCACTCTTTTGATAAGTTGGATAATTTAGCAATAAGCCTCATGTTCAGCTTTGYTCCAGGGAAGATCACCCTGGGCATAGACATTAAATTCACACACAGGGCATATATAACATTTTAGCCAAAGCACACATCATGACCATCATGATCATGACCATCCTCATCTTCTTAAGACGAACAGGAGGCAGAACCTATAAYGAATCAAGAAACACAGAGCTTCATGTCGCAAGAAATACTGACACTAAAYACAAGCGTTTAATGGAAATACCTCTGCATAAAAACAGGGCATAGGATGATGCTCATGCACCACCATTATGGAATAGGTTAAACCAAGTCAGCTGCCAGTTCTCATACAGCTGTGTCTGCAAGGAAATTGTCTGCACAACTTCTCCCTCCAACCGTGGCTCAGCTCACATCTGTGATTGTGATTTGTCACTTGCCACTAATATCTTGAACATAAATCAGGCTGCCAAGAAAGTAAAGTGACACTTAAGCCTGCTCATGTGCCCAGTCTTTGACAATTCTGGGACAAGAGAAGAAATGCTAAGAGCTTTGAATATGGAGGAAAATAAGCCCTGCAATACCCTGAGCTCCAAAGAGGACCAGCCAAAAAGAATACAGGACCTTGGAGACTGTAGGCTTCACTGTAATGGAAACTAAAAAAGCCTGCGAAAATAGCACATTTGCAACCAAAAACCACTGTTTATGCCAAACAGGGCTGAGCACTTACAATAATTGATAACACAAAAAGTTACCTAGGAGAAGGTTAAAGCTTTGCATCTTCCTGTGTGGTTATTAAAACCCAGCTCTAATGCAAATTCTTCAGGACCAATTTCCACTACAGTTCCTGGCTATTTCCTGGAAGGTACCACTGTACTTGCCAGCTATTCCTTGGAAGATGCCACTGTAGTTCCCAACTGTTCCTTAGAAGATGCTGCACAAAACRAAGCAAGTTGGTACATGAGCAGAGAAGACAATGTTGGCAATTGAAGCACATTTCTGTTGTATGAAATGGTCAAATTCCAGCAGTGACCTGACTCCTGTGCCTCAGTGGGCTGATGAAAGCTTACACAATAGCTGCATTTTGCTCAAAGAATRAAATCCATGTTTTGGTGGCTAATAACACTAAAATTAAAGTTTAAAGGCCCTTGCACCAGATGAAATAGTGCAGCAACCAAAAATCTCCAATAATGAAAGACATTTGCAAGAGTTCAGCAGGCTCTGTGACCCAGTTCCCAAATGAATTCTTCCTCCCACACAAGCTGCAAATTTGAATGATGTTCCAAATAAGTATTTATTACTCCAGACTTGCTGCTGAAGCCAAGACCTTTAGGCAAATCTGAAAGCACATTTTCCTTCAACGAGGAAATATGCTCACAAAGAAATAACATTTTAAAATCAAAGGGAGAAATTCCAAGACAACTATTTGCTGTGCTCAAGGTACCTGCTGAAGAGACCTGCAGAGCTGAATTTTTACTAAATCAGCAAGTACCCTAGAATTTTCCTCAAATATCTCAAGAAAATATGATGAGACTCACCAGAAAATAACATCAAAACATAGCTCTTCCATCACAGCAATCAGGTCTTTCTGGAGGATGGTGGTCTGCACCACACACAGGAATATTTCCACAAGTACGCACAAAATGCAATAGAATAGTTTGCTGTGCCATCACTTCACATGTTTTATGGCAGTGACATCCTCCTAAGGGCCTTGCCTGAAAATCCGGTTTGCCTACGTGTCTCTTGCTTTGATACCCCGCATCTCCCCTCAGCACAGTGCGTAACAGGAGAATCTGTCATTCTGCAGAACCCTCCAGGACAACTGATACCACTTCAGATGCCAGCCAGATCCAGCTGTCAGAGGCACGGGGATTCTCTTACCTCTGCAACACACCACCATCTCAACTGCATAAAGAAAATAATCCAAGCTTCAACCTAGAGCAGGGTCCAAACACCAGGATTCCTCCAAAGCATTGGAAAACTCATTAAAACCAGTCTAAATAACCCAGGCTTTGTAAAAAGCACCTTTTTCCCCCTCCATACAACATACCTTCCATAACTACATCAATTTGAATTACTTTATGTATGTATGTATAATTACTAATACAGCAATACACCCTGACCATGCTATTGTCACACTAACCTTCAGTTAGAGCTTCCYTAGTGGAATGGTGTAAGACAAACTGAAGCACTTCTGCCCAAGGGAACAGGTTGGTTTTTATTCCCATCTTGCATGTCTTACAACATTACATAAAACACACCAGCCACCTACAATTGTTTAAACTCCATCTGACACTTGGACTTCAACATTTGCATATCCCCTGAAAGCAACATTGTCATTTAGTTCCTTGTTCCACATTAACTTTATTACACTGATACTTACACACCTCATAGTATCTCAGGAGACCATATGAATAAATTAAAGTTAAATGACTCTACCACATCCAAATAACTGTTTTCCTCATAAGAGTGTAAAAAGATCAGTCCTTCTCATTTGCAGAAGTTAATTTCTCAATGCTGGACTTGCCAGAGCTATATTTAGCTGTACTACAGATCTCATCTCAAGTTACAGCACTATTTAAGTCTAAAAAGCAATGCAGGTGTTAATGAAAGCTKCTAGAGTAAACAGCCAAGTCCTAGTGGAAAGTTCACGTGGATGACACAAACTCCATTTATACACAGGCAATTCCAGCACTCCACAGAAGGACTTGGGTATCTTGTCGACACATCTTTTTGCAGGCAAAAATTCTCATATAAGTTACCTAATAAAGCCTACTATACCTAACATCTAGTAAACAAGTTGCTAATTCTTCAGCTTAAACACAGTGATTAACAACTCTCCCCATTAGGGACTTCCCAGAACAGAAGGGACAAAAGCAGGGACCATCCTTCCCGCAATCCATACAACCTTCCTGGCTTTTTTTTTTTTTTAACCAAATCCTACATCCCTGAAATTACGAAAACCTGTACGAACTACAAAGGGAAAAGGAATAGAGCATTTTGTATGCCGAAACTAGGAAATATTTCATAGCCTACATTTCAACAGCATGACAGAGAACTGGAAAGAGAAATTATTCTTTTTAGAATAATTTCTTACTTARGAGTGGTTTAAGTCATGGAGAGCCCTAAGAGCAACTTTCCCACCCTTTCAAAAGGCCAGAACAAGTAATCTAAAAGYCAAAAGGAAGAAAACAGCAGGCTGAAGAAAAAAGAGACCAGAAAGATCAGCAGCAGTTACTCCCTCTATGGTGCTTTTTGAAGAGACAGACTCTAACACACACACTAGGCGATAAGAAGCTTGAGAACAGTCACTAAACCACAAGGGACTGAAAATCTGCAACCCACTATTTGTGGCTGTCAAAATTGTTGCCTTAAGTCAATCCACTACAGAGCTACAGATTTTACTGTGCTTCCCAGGAGCTCTGTCCTTTTTCCCTTTTTTCTTTCTTTTTAAGAAAATAACAGAGGAAAAAGTCACCAATTTCCATACTCAACACCCAAACTCTTGGTTAAACTCACTTCATTTTGATACGCCGAGAAGAAAGGTCTTATTTTCAAGTATGTGTATTATCAGATATATTAAACAGATGCCAGCTATTTCTAGTGACCRGTGGTACAACTGGCCAAACAGACATATAACAATTCAAATGCGACAAATTACAATTGGTGCTAACTTGAAGCAGCAAGGAATAAGTATTGAGAGCTTGCAGAAAAAGTTTACAAGATTGAAAAAAATCAGAAAACAGGGCTATTCTTTAAATAAAGAAAAAACAGAGTTGTCACAGTAAGGAAACCCAACATTTAAGATGTTGTTCCTCAGTTTTCCTATTGCAAAGGGGCAAAAAGCCAAGTCTGGCCATTCAGACTGCCAAAAAGCAAGAACTGACAGCACGCAGGTGATGAATGAGCCGAGTGTGCTACAGGCGGAAGCAATAGTGGATGTGGAAACACAACAGCCAAGATCTCCACACATTTTTACAATGGTAGCTGTGACTTGTAAAGCTGAAAAGGTTGCTTAGGCCTCAGTACTCATTAACACRATAAAATATTAGATCTGACACTTTTGCATAGCCTGTATTAACTCCATTAGCCTCCAATACAATCATGTTCAGGTAAGGACTTGTCCAGTAAAGGACTTGAATAGTTAACTCAATTTAACACTAGCATGGCAAAGAAAATGCAGATTTTTAGGCCCACCTGAACTTCCTGTTAAAATAACCTGGGAAACGCAATAGTTCAAGACAGCCTCTAGCACAGCCTGTCAGGGATCAATCCCAAACAGAGACTTGTTCTCAAGCACCTTCCTTCTTGACAACAAGATTCCTTGAAGGGAAAGATCTCCAAAGTACTTGGAGAGTCCAAACATACAATTAAAAATTAAAGAGCCTCTCACTGCTTGTAAACTCAAAGCACAATAAAACTTACTTAATTCTCTACTCAGTGCAAACTGAGTTAGATTCCTCAGTATTTTCATTAAGTGCTAAGATCTACAGATCTATACTTCTTTCTGCCCTCACATTTAACTCGACTGTGACTGACAGCCATGGATACCTTCAGTCCAACAGGGCTTTAGATTCTTCGCCTCATGGGCTGCATTTCACCACACTAGTTATCCTGACCCAAGCAGAGGAGCATCAAGGCTGAACTTCTGAAAATGCTAGAAGTGTTACAAAGGAAAAAAACCAAAAACACCCTGATTTTTTTAAATCAACAAAATCAAATTCTGCTCATCAGAAACAGTATATACTCAACATAACTCTACCACAGCTCTACCACGTACCACAGCATTTATCTTCCCTTCTCTGCCTTTACTTGCTCTCACGCTTGTACACACATACACCAGTCCAGACTGCCACTACTTGGACACCTTTCAGCCATTTGACTAAATCACTGAACAGCAACAAGAACAGCCTGAACAGAAGCAGTTAATGCACCTGGACACCACAGACAGGCATCCTAGGCAGTATTCCCAGCTCCCCTGGCAAAGCCATAGGCAAAATCACTTGGAGACAACTGATGAAGTCCAATCTCTTGCTGGAAGACTAAGTGATCTTCACCTTACCCCACTGCTGGTGGGGCAAACAACAGGAAGAAACTATGCTGCTGAATAAATGTTCACCTGTTGCTTATCAACATTTTTCTCCTATCAACATTTCATTAAATGGAAACACTTAATGCCTCCTGAATTGTACTCTAAGACAACCTCATGGTTAATCTTGAGAATCTACCATTGCTTCCTTTGAATATTTACCTATTATTGACTGAGATTTTTGTGGTAGTGACATGTTTAAATCTCCAAATGTAAAACAAAAGCAGGATTCCCAAGTATATAAAGGCAAGAGTATTCCTCAACTTGCACAAGCCTTACCAACATATCCCYGTAAACCAGCTCAGCCAGGTAAGCTGAGAGTATTTGATGATTGTCAATCATGTCAACAGCTGCAATGCTGACTAGTCTAGCCTTAAAGTCTTCTAAAACAACAACTTTAACCTGATCAGGGCAGCCSTGCACAAAGCTCCTACCCATCACAGGAACAGCTGCACAGCTAGGGAAGATGGAGGAAAAACCCCACACAAGCTGCAAAGCCAATTTCCACAGTTTTTGCACTCTTCAACTGGCTCCTCACGCAAGGCAGTGAGTCACTGATCTAGCCAAGGAGCCAAGTTTTTGGGCTGCAATCAAAACTGCAATTCAGAAAGCCGCTAAAAGGCTATCTCTGCTAGAGAGCTGGGAAAGGCTCTTTTCTACAAGGCTAGAAGGGAAGATACACAAGGCGCTCCCATTTCTTAAACTCTGAAGTCCTGAGAATTAAATTCCACTAATAGTTTATATTACATAATTTCAAAGAAAAAAAGCTGAATATTCCAAGTCAAGCAAGCCCAACCTTAACTATTTCCTTCTCTCATCTCAAGATCATCTTTCCTAAAGGGACCCCTTAGGAAAGGGCCCTACAAATCACAGATGCATATGACAACCATCATCCAAGAACAACTGGCCCAAAAAGTCTTTTCAGACTTGGCATTTTAGTACTAGATCTGGCATGTCAGAGGTGTTGCAACTCGGTGCCTCTATTAGTCCTTCTCATTCCCATCAGATTCCAGATAGCAGAATCATGTCAAGAGAATATAGATCATGATAGATGATATAAAAGCAAATTTTCMATTATGCACCACATGTAATCAGTTGCTCCTCTAACTCCAGCACATTTAGAGAATCAGTGGCTCATAAACTGCTTAATTACATGGCAGGCTAGTTTTCCATGCAATTTTAATACTCATGGTGGATAAATTTARTGGTGGATGTAATTTCAATATAAAATAGCTGTTTTTAACAACAAAAAGAAAATCCCATATAGAAACTATTAATCTTTGAATTACCAAGAGAGGGCCCCTTTCAATTACATTATTTCACTGTCACTAAAAAGTAACTTTCATCCCTTAGCCATAAAACGTGCCTTGTTCTGATATTTAGCATTAACAGCCTGTATTTCCTCAGAAGTTTCCAAAGAGATAACCAACCCTGCAGTGCTACAAGCATAAGCACAAGCTACATCTTCTGGCACATCCTGAAATTAACCTGCCCAACCTGCTCATCTATGTTTCTTAGGTATGGAAAAAAAATTCTAAAGCTTAGACCAAACTTCTCATGATTTCAGAAAGTAACTTTAGAATTTTCTACATCTAATAGGAAAAGAAAAATAAAAAAGGAAAAAAAATGGGGGAAGGCTGTATCATCTTAAAGAATCCAGAAGATTAACCAATGCCAATGAATGGATTATTGGGAAAAATCATGACATGATTAAAGCATAAGTGCTTCTAGGCAAAATACAAATTAAATCATTTAAACTGTCCCCCACTTAAAACAGAAATTAATGAGTCATTAGCAACATCAGGAGCTGAAAAAGGTTACAAACCTGAAAGATACCTAGATAAACAGTATCAATATCCTGAACMTGCCAAAAGATGTTAGAAATCCACCCGACAGGGGAAGAGGAAAGAAAAACAAGGGAAAAGGACTAGAGAAAGCAAACAGCACAAAATGGATGATTTAAGCATTTTTGCCGTGGCTGCCTCAGGAGGCAAAGAGCCTCTAGGACTGAGCTCCAGAGCTGATCTGTAAGTATAAGAGGCCATTTTGCTGAAGCAAGTTCAGCTCTAAAAACTGAACTATGAACTGCTGATTTCCTAGGATCCAACTGGAACAGAAGTCAAAGACACTTTGCCACCACTACGGCACAAACAGCAAAATCGTTACAAAAAAAGGAAGTTTCAGTTGCACGCTGAACTTTGCTTGTAGCTCAACTAGTCAGCCTCTGAGAAGCAGCCACATAACTTGGAAAGCAGTTCAGCCACCCCCGTTAACACCAGATTGGGGCAAGCTGATTAACACTTGGGTTTGTCAGGATGAACATCCCCTCCTTGGAAGGGGAGGCCACTTTATAACTCCATCCTCACCTTAAGTGTTTATTTTTTCCCCCTCACAAAATTCAAAGAAATGGAAAGTTAGCACATGTTGGGATTTGCTATGGTCTATTTAAATAGACTAAACTGGAAACCTGCTTATGGAAGTTAACCTGCAAACATATGCACTGAGAGAAAAAAAATAAGTGAAGCTTTCGATTTTTAAACTTTGAGTAATTTCCTTGTCTTTTCAACTCTGAAAAACTTGAGTGTTCCTCTCAGTGTTCAGGACATTTCCAAGTTAGGAGCTAACTCACAGTTTCAATTTATTGTGAGGTTCAAGCTGTCAAAGCTATTCCCTATTTGCACAATACATCTTCACACCTGCAAGATAATTTAGCATCCACCAAACCGACCTGTGAAACATTCAGTCAAATCATTCTTGACTTCACAGCTCTTCACAGCTCAGTAGGAAGAGCCTTAAGACTCCATGGAATAGGGATTCATCAAAAACAAGAGTAACCTGTCAACTATCAAGTTCACAAACAAGATTCATAGTCAAAACTTCCTATTTGGTTCCTTTTGCTACCTGAGATGGAGAACCTCAACACTTTTACATTCTCTTGGGTGGAAACATCAAACCTTCCTTTCCACAAACTCCACARGCAGTGCAAGTCTCAAGGGAGTTCCCTGAAACCTGCTAAATTGCYGTGATAGCTGTGACTGCCAATACAGCCATGGCCCACAACACAAGCAAGTACCAGCAGGGTAGCAGGGACCTGAACCATCTTTAGGAGGGAAAAATTCCAGACAAGTTTGAGCATCGATACCTCAACAAAAYAGTAATATTTAAACACAACCCATAGTATGAATCAATAGTATTTGCACAATTTTCTGCCTTTTCTCCCCCATTTAGTCTTTAAGAGATAAACACATAAAATGCAATTTTAAAAGACTGCCTGAAAATTGATTATTGATCAGCTACATATAGTATTACAGAGAATAAAGCAGCAGAGAACTCAATGCCACTAGCAGCTTGCTTTGCAAGGCTTCACAAAGCCCATGCAACATCACATTAACTAGTGCTATCTTTACATGAGCATGCAGCACCATAAATGACAGGAAAGTATTCCTCGCTGCACGGTGGTACTTACAGATTCCTTTGTGCTGATCTGGGAGCTTAAAATACAGGCACAGGGCAGCAGCAGAGTCCAGCAGCGTGCAAGGCTTMGATGTTATCCCACAACATAGCACTGCTGGGAAAACAAGGGAGGGGAAAAGGAGGGAAGGGAAAAGTTGAAATATTTTAATCTGAGAGTTTAGTAAAAGCAACAGCATGTTATGACACCGCTTCAGAATGAAAGGCACACCCAACCACACAAAGAAAAACTTCAAATGTGTCAGCAAAGCGACCCATACTGCAGCCCAAACTGCAGTTAATAGTAACCCAGGGCAGTTCACATCACAGAACTYAGCCAGGGGCACCTGACGAGCGGTGGCTGCCAATCAAGCATATATTTTGTATTGCAGAGTCAGAGTGTGAATAACACTCCCAGGAATGTGAAGAGCTGAAACAGGTAAAGAAAAAGGAAACTCCTGATAGATACGCTCTAGGTGACTCTGCTTGAGCAGAGGCTAAATAGTCTCCAGAAGACCCTTTCACCTCAACTATTCTGGAATGCTATTATTCCAAGTGCCTTTTGAAAAAGTTTGCTTCTCATTTAACTCAGCTATCCAACACCAACATCTCAGAGACAAAACTGAGCATAAGCAAACTACGAAACAAGTCACACAACAGCCAGTTAAGGAATATGCACTGCAATGTAAAGAAATATTCACAAGAACATTATAACACAGGTGCCACTATTAATCTGACAAGAGCAGCACTGTYTACAACTGAGGGGCTTTTTCCTGGAGCCCGTGCCCCTCTGAAGTRGGGGAACCAGACTATATGGATCTAAAATAACCTTCAACACTTGCTCCCAAACTTCCAGCATGTTCCAAGTTTAAAGGTTTGCAGGGTGTAAATATAAGTTAGAAGCAACTGATGGCCTTAACAAGGGATGCACAYACATATGCAACCACACATATGCATGCAAATTTACACAATACACAGGGTATCTTTTACTCCTCACTGGTTTTATCACTTCCAGCCTCAGTAATGAGCATTGTTACAGCAGGCTCTTTGGAGTTCCAAGGATTATTTTACAAGTGGTTAGCTTTCCACAAAAAAAATCTCGGAAATGAAGTCATTTGTTTGTCTTGAAACTATAGCAGCCGTCATTACCATTCATTTTAACACAGTTGCTCATCTGTATAGGAAAGCTGAACATTTCCAAAGCCATCAGTCACTCCAACAGCACGAGTGCCTGCTTGCTTGCCCTCCAGTACAGATGGGTATCAAGGCCCGCTGCTCTGAAACTACTCCTTGCAATCAGCAAAAACAGAAAGTCACATAAAATACTAGTCTTCAGCTATGACTGAAATAAAAGAAAGCAAGCCCAACAGGAAAAAAGCCAACACCGAAGTGCATTTCTTTGGTTTTAAGAAGATATAGGTATTTTGTGGACAAGATTAATGAATTCAAAGCAATTTCACCTCAAAAGTAACAGAAAAGTACAATGAATTGTATCCAATATAACTGAAAGTAGCCCAGAAAACTGAGAATTCAGTTTAATTTATACTGTAATCCATCTTAAGGTGACTTACAATTAGTCCTTATAGGAAGCATAATATGCCTGCTGACAAGAGACAGCAAACTTACTACACTTGAATTAGGTAAAAAATCCCTGCCCAAAGAGCATCAACTGAGGTAACAAACCTCAATTTCTAACCCAAATAACATGTTAATTGCACTGAAAAATTTTCAGCTGCACTGCAATTTTGATGTGTGATGCCAATTGCAGAAGCACACAGCAGTTTCATTTGATTCTGCTTAATATGGCATGTACAATTAACAAAGTTCAACACGATTGAGTCATTTAACTGGTATTTAAATTACCACTTCTAACCCTACCCAAATCTAATCTCAGTCGTAATTGGCACCATAATAACAACACCTGAGATAGACTAGATCCTCATGTTGGTTTCTTGCCCTGTGACCAATATATGCAACGGAATACACAGCATATATTCACTTTCAGGAATACCCTTTGAATAAAACTCATAACAAAACTCAAAGCACAAATGCCTCAAAAATAAGCATCTTGGAGATGCAATAGTAGAAGTTCTCATGTACACTACACTACAGCTTCAATTCCTGACAGCTCCAAAAGCATCAATAAAGATATAGCTGACCCAACCAAGTCCATATTTAAATTTTAAGAAAAACATATACAAGATAAAGACAGCTAATAAAGAAAATCCATCTCCCAAGAAACTTCCTTTTTTTTTCTTTTTTAATCTRTCAACTCTGCTGTTCAGCTTCCACTTGCTCAAGTTAGAGATATTAATGAATGTCAGGAAATGCATTAGCAGGAAGCTGTCTATTACAAGTGTTTAAATTAAGCTGTAGCATGCAATTAATACAATCACACAAGAAACTTAAGTAATTAGACTGAACCTGGCTCAAATAAATATTTCCTTTCCAGAGGCCCACTGCAGCAAAACAACAAGACTAATAAGCCCCATGGAAGACAAGGAATGAATGATGCCAGCTCTAGTAAAGCAGAGCTACAACCTGAACCCACCTCAAGGCCAACTTGAGCATGAGTGCTTGGACTCCACTTCATGAGTGGAGCAAGTTGCTCACACTCCTATACCAGCAACGCACATCTAGATTGGCCAACATCTCCTGTAATCACCACATGCTTCCCCAAGGAAACCTAGAAGGATGCGAGTGATGACAGAGAAGTCCTCAGACCAAGAAAGTCTCTTTCCAAGCAGGACTATCTGTCTAGACCGCAGCACCACATGGCCTCTTTAAATCCTTTTTGGAGAGGAAATATCCATGCAGAGTTGCTCCAGAAGTAGTAATAAGTAGCTCAAAGAGGCTCCCTTTCTAAATTCAATCATTGCTCAGGTATAGCAGTAACTTGAAGCTCAGGGTCAAGGCTTCTTGCCTTTTCAAACCCAACTGCAAAAGAGCACTCATARGCATGAAAAAAATATTTTGCATGCAACAGAGCTCTGACAGATAAAGTTTTATGAAAACCTTCACAATGAACAGGCATCACAATTGTATGATGCCTGCATGATTGCCTTCTGCAACAGTTGAGTGTCATGTTTATATTCCAGGTTAAGGATATGAAAAACCCCTTCCATCAAGCAGATGACAACTTTGCCATCTCTTAAAGAAATCATGCTTCCAAAATTCACTCATTTCACACATTTAGTTAGGTGACCCTGCATGGACAGGGAGGTTTGACTAGATGATCTCTAAAGGTCCCTTCCAGTCTTAAGGATTCTATGATTTCTAACCAAGTCATCCACACTATATATTTAATAGGACAGAATAACATTAATTTACACAGGATTCACATACTTCATTACAATGTTCACAGGGGATTCCAAAGAGTGAGTGGAACAGACTGTCCACATCAAACTGGATGACCCAATACCCAGGCTCAAGCATAATACTCCACAATGGCAACTTCCACAACTTATCACAGCTAGAGAAGCTGCATTTCATTTCCTAGTTGTTTCAGCTATCAAAAAAGAAGAGTTAGATTCTCTCTGAAGTGTAGGGTAACAAAAGTTTCTCCATAGAACACTGAACAAAACAAGTGCTCCCAGTCTTAAAACAGTTAGATCCTTCCAGTAACTCACATTTGAGAACTCATTTGCCCCCTCTTATCAAGATGCTTCCTCATAACTKAAAAAGCTCTAAGTCCCCACAACCACTGGAACACATCTAAGATGCCAGAGCTCTTTGTCAACAACAGTAYGTAGTAGTTGGTAGTCACATAACAGGCTTTCATGAACACGAGGAACCCACCAGCCTGGCTTACAACAAAACCAGGAACGTTTGCAAGCTCCGTTGCTCTGGTTTGATAGCTAGCTTTGTCCTGCACCCACTCTCATGGAAGCCTGTACTCCTAATAAAGGCTACAGATACAATTATTGCAGTGTTCTTTATTCAGCTACCATTCATTTGAAATAAATACTGGCTTTGTTATCAAGTTTGAAGTATAAAAGGCCTACTCCACACAGTTTGTGCAAGCAAACTGGAACACAACAGCTTAAACACCTTCAGCTCTAATGGCTTCACATTTACAGGATACAAATTCATTAGTTTGCTGTCAAAGCCCCCATATTATGGTGGAGAACTGTCAATATATTAAGTACTGGACATAACATGAACATACGCACTGGTAGCACATAACAGATGTTTTCAGGCTACTGGGTTGTTCAGATCCCAGTTCTGTCAAGACCACTTCGTGCTTACATTGCACTGCATAGAATCAGAGACAGGCCTCACCTTTTTTTGATGTTATTCTAATTATCCCTTACAATTTAGAGGCTTATGAAGTCTTGTTTCCTCTGAGCATTGGAAAATTCTCACTGGAACACGCCTAAGGAACTCTGCTCTGCAAGGAGAACAATTAGAGACAATTATATTCCATCCCCGAGACAAGCACAATTCCCCAAAGTACTACAGTGAAAGGCCTTTCAAGGGATAAAAACAATCTTTTCAATTAATATGGGGTACTACCTACTACACAGTTCTAAGAGAAATCCTAAGCATATGGTCTAGAGAATGAAACACCTCAACTTAAAGTGTCACATTCAAATATATTTAAGCAAAGGAGAACTTCTGATCTTGTCACTCCCTCTGCCCCCCACCAGACACATGGTACCAGATTCCTTCTGAAACCACCTCACACCTACATGTGTTATTTGCCTTTCTTAGAAGAAAAATGTTAGTAAGAACAAGCTAAAACTAGCTCAGAGATCAGCAACAGGGATGGGAGGAAAGCACCAAGATGATCAAAGAGACAGGCCATTTGCTTAATTATCGATGGCACTCAGCACTACAAAAAAGCTCCAGTGTCATGCTGAGCTAATAGCACTTGCAGCACCACCACCTCTCCTTTTTTGAATTACAGCTCTCTTAAGGTTAGCTCTGTTTTCAAAAGCACTTACAAGGTGGAAAAATGCAGCCAATGGCATTGGAACTAGAATGGGACAGAAACAACTGCTTAGCCATCYAGCAGTCTCCTGCATTCAGAAGACAATTTGTGAACAGATCCCAAGCCTCAACCTCCAAACATCCAAACCTGACTCAGAGCATTACATTGACCATCCTGGCCCCAACATGGGAACCTAGGAGAGGAACCAGGGAAAGCAAGTGGATTATGTTTGTAGAACTAAACTTTCACAGGGATTTCTATCTACCAATTGATTATACGAGCAATTAGAAGACACAGCAGCTATGAGAGTACAACTCTTAGCCAGTGAGCATGTTGGCTGAAAGGGAAAAGCAGGGGATATGAAGGAAAATTCTACTTCCTCTTTGACCCTCAGGATTAGAAAAGGTACATGAACTTTTAAAGCCACTTGAGATAACTGCTTAACCTTTTCCCAACACATTTTCCATTATGCAGACTCTCAGCTACTTCATCTAAGGGGAGTTAACATCAAGCCAAGGGCTTGTACACAAGGAAGTTGATACATTCTCCAAACTGCACCAAGAGCAGATTGCAACTGGGTTGTGTATAATTGTGAAGTTATTGGCAGGCATAAGTGTGAGAAAGGGCACAAGTTTTTCTATATGCCAACAGTAGACATAAAAATTAAGCACTATGTCTTCCCTCTGATGGATTTGAGACATTCTTAAAAAACACCTAGCCATAAACTTTAATTCTTCTAGTCTTCAAAGCAGCAACATTGCTGATCAGGTAGACATTTGTAACAGGAACAACTTTTTTAAATATCATGTAGGTGACATAAAACCCACCAAACTGCAGTAAGAAAGATGCAGGCCTAGTTGTGACAGCTCTACTGAGAGCCCTATTAATATACAAGTTACATTTCCCAAGCTTCATGTACAGTAGAGCTTGAGGAGATACTGCCTGCCTCACCACCCTAAAATAACTTGGCCCAGGAAYGTAACCAGGACATCTTACACTATGTGAGGTAGGCATGTCTAGGATGTATTCCAGGGCTTTCCATTCAAGAAGCTAACGGAGGCCAAGAGCCAGGTTTAGCGAAAGGTCATCCACTCACAGCTAGAAACACACACTCATCAGCAAGGCCTGAAAAACAATTCTGGCTCTTACCACATTGACCCCTTTTGAGTTTATGTGCTGAAGCTCTTTTAAAGCTGACCATCRGCTTAGGGCTCCATTTCTGTCTGTGTTACCCAAAAAAATGAGCTGCACAGACTACCATACAGAACAAGAGTATATGGAAAAGCATGTTTTAGCCTGAAATCACTAGAACCACCTCACCACCAGGAGGTAGTTTTCCCAAAGTCAAAATAAAAAGGCAGCTAGTTTTGAGAAAGGGCAAGAAGCTCCTGCAGGGTAGTTCTCTTAAGGCAGGAAGGACAGAGAATCTCACCAGCGCCACTGATAGGATAAAAGTCTAGGATTCTGCAAGAAGAAAAAAAAAAAATCAGGAATGCCCTGAAGACCATGCAAGGAAACAAACTCAATAAGGAACAGATCTAGAAGAGTGGACCAACATTAATTGTTTTGCCAACATTTTGAAACAAGTGGCATTAAGTAGTTCAAATACCAGTCCAAAAATCCAAAGCAGTTCAGACAATGAGAAAGGGTCAAGGATAAGCAGCAAGGGACAGGAATGCTGTACAGAAACAGTTGCAGCTCCTAACCCAGTTGTGTCAGTCAGGAGGAAACAAATCAAAAAATGCCTGATATTACTTGGTCTGACACAAGGGAGAGGATGGAGGACTGACAGGAGCCTGCCTGCACCTCACCCTTTTCACCCTTTTCCTAACAATTTTGTTTCCTGCCCAGGTCCTGCTCCTGACCTTTCACAGTAGGCTGAGTCTGGTAGCCACCATGTAGTATAAGGAGGGGTTTGAACAGAAATAGAAAGCAATGAATGGGGATGGGCAGCAGGGGAATCTCCTTCCTTCTGCCTGCTATTTATGACTGAAAGCAAGTAAGGTCACTGCCAGTTTAACACTCAACTCTCCAAGAAGCCTTCTCTTCTGGGGAGGGAAGCAGCAAAAGGCACAACTGTTTCAAACTAAGYGTTCTGAGGCAGAGATCAGAAAAATTTATAAGGAAGACAAAAAGCTTTGACCATTTCTACAACAAGCTAACCGCAAAGTCTGCATTTGGCATTTTGTTTATAGCTTTTATTTCAACACTACTTCAGTAAAGTATTTGGGATAGAAAAGGGGTAGACAAAAATTAGCACTGGTTTCCTTATCAGCGGCAGGAAAGCATGGATCCCATACTGTTGAGCTAGTGTCAATCATCTTGTTGACTGATAGTACCCTTGACACAAAGCACACTTAGATCTTGGGGAACAACTTGAGCAGGATCATCTGCCCCAGCTTCCAGGCCAACTCAAACCACCTGTATCTAAGTGCTGAGCCACTCTTCACGACCTCACAAAGATACATGGCAGGACACTGTCAATCAAGACTTCTGTCCTGCTGTCAAGCAGAATCTGACCCAGTCACACTAATTTACATAATGGACATAAAAACTTTGCCTTTGAAGCTGAGAAGGGGAAATTCAATTTGCTAGGCACCTGGAAGCCCTCTGGCAACTCACTGCCCAAATACCTTTCTACCTCATCTGCATCAACATCGTGTTATATTGCAGCCCATTTATGCCACTAGTTTAGTAAAAATGAAATGGTGGACAGCAATGTATCTGTGCATGTTATAGAGTGGTTGGTACATCCTCTTGCACACAAGAGACCAGAAATCAATTTGTTGCACTGTTGGAAGGGTCATGAATTATTCACAGCCATAATAAGCAGCTGAGTTTTGCAATTTTAAGATATTTTTGTCATTTCAAACAAGATATGCTTTGACATCAAGTATACTGAGTGCTTAATAAAGAACAAYGGTAAGAGATCTGTTCGACAAATTTTACAATGGAAGTTTCATGTCTTATGACAAGCAGCTATCAAACCAATACCATCAACAAACTAATTAGTCTTGAACCAAAATGAAAGGATTTTCAGAAAACAACACACAAATGTGAAGCCAATGCAAGTGTTGTTAAGAGCTGCTAATAAACTCAAGCAGAAACCAGATTTTAGGGAATCTTAAAAATTTATACTGGCTAGATCAACATCCTCTCCTGTTGATTAAACATAAACAAACTTCACAGTCACAGTGCAACAGAAGATCTCCTTATGTTAGAGCTACCAGTTAGGTAAGCAAGCCCCATATTTGGCCATTAGAAACAAGAAGCTGAAAAACACGGAACAGTTCTGCTTGCTTTACTTTTATATAAATTTGGAACATATGAACCTAAACAAGGCACAAGCTGAGAACAAGCCAGAAGCAAAACAAGCATCCTTGCAAATTCTTCATCCATAATAGCATTAATGCTCACAAAGCTGAAATAAATTGCAACAAATCACATGGCAGTGCAAGATGGGGTCAGCTACATCATGTAATACCTTTCATCAGACTTTTGGGTTTTCCCCCCTTAGCACCCTAAATACAACCACCAGAAGCTGCATATCACTTGCTCAGAAGACAAATCTATTACAGTTGGATTAAACATACAGTTTGGTGAACGTATTTATAATCTGTCATCACCTCATCTTCATGGGCCACATCCATGAACTGCCATCAAGGTTTATCAACAATCTGAATATATTAGGTTTCCTGGAAAAGTTCACAGCTCCCCAAATTAAAAGATTGACATTTACATTGATGCACCAAACACTGTCCTCTGGAACTCWCAAAAACATCATTAGACCACAGCAATTCAGACTGGTCACTTCCATCATGTTCAGCAGGTCTAGAAAAGGTTWCTGGTGAAGGGGATGTGAAAAGAGGCTTTAATAACACATGCTTAATAATGCTGCAAATTCAAAACATAGGTCAAAATATGCTTTGCAAAGATAGTATTACAAATTCATTTTCCAAATCCAAAACTGACATTTGGGCTTGGGAACTCATTTGCTGTGACACACAACTGCTTCCCCTTTACCCACAAAGGTAAAGGGGTTACCCTCCCCTTTACCTTTGACAGAGCAAATCACATCTGTAATGCTGAAAAAATAAATGAAATCCTGATAACTCAGCCACCTCTATATACRCAATGAAAAGAGTTCTCTAGTCTCTGCACTTAAAATGTGCTGCTTGTGGTTGCAGTCTGAGACTTTTATTGCAGCAAGCATAACCACATCAATCCTACCACACTGCTACCCAGCTCTGGTCCCTGAGGTGGCAGATTCCACAGATTAGCTTCATGCTGTGTGAAGAGAATGAAGTATCAAATGACAGGAGAACTTGGCCTTAAACTACAAGGCTTTGGGGAGCCRGCGAGGGGGAGGTTGTTTTTCAAGAGAGAGGATGCAGAAGCAAGAAAGGATGCTG